ACACCTATTGTTATTTATACTACTCTTGGTAATGTGGCCCATTGTTATTTATACCATACTTGGTAATGATACCTATTGTTATTTATACCACTCTTGGTAATGTGGCCCATTGTTATTTATACCATACTTGGTAATGACCTATTGTTCTTTATACCACTCTTGATAATGTAGCTCATTGTTCTTTATACCACTCTTGGTAATGTGGCCCATTGTTATTTATACCATACTTGGTAATGACCTATTGTTCTTTATACCACTCTTGATAATGTAGCTCATTGTTCTTTATACCACTCTTGGTAATGTGGCCCATTGTTATTTATACCACTCTTGGTAATGCGACCTATTGTTATTTATACCACTCTTGGTAATGTGGCCCATTGTTATTTATACCATACTTGGTAATGACCTATTGTTCTTTATACCACTCTTGATAATGTAGCTCATTGTTATTTATACCACTCTTGGTAATGTGGCCCATTGTTATTTATACCATACTTGGTAATGACCTATTGTTCTTTATACCACTCTTGATAATGTAGCTCATTGTTCTTTATACCACTCTTGGTAATGTGGCCCATTGTTATTTATACCACTCTTGGTAATGTGGCCCATTGTTATTTATACCACTCTTGGTAATGTGGCCAATTGTTATTTATACCACTCTTGGTAATGCGACCTATTGTTATTTATACCACTCTTGGTAATGTGACCTATTGTTATTTATACCACTCTTGGTAATGTGGCCCATTGTTATTTATACCACTCTTGGTAATGTGGCCAATTGTTATTTATACCACTCTTGGTAATGCGACCTATTGTTATTTATACCACTCTTGGTAATGTGACCTATTGTTATTTATACCACTCTTGGTAATGTGACCTATTGTTCTTTATACAACTCTTGGTAATGTGGCCCATTGTTATTTATACCACTCTTGATGAACCTTCATTGTAAATCTCACATAACTAGTAAACTACTAATGTTAATTCAACGTAACTTCTAAACTGCTAGTGTAAATCTTGCGTAAATAGATCACACCATGCACCCTGTAGTTATAAAACTACTTTTGCCAAGGTGCATTAATATCTGGAGTTTATGAGGAGTAGAGTTCTCAAATATTAAAAATTTTATCCTGGATGGGGTTTGAACCTATGACATCAACCAAAGCAAGTAGAAGTTTTAACATCTGAACTGTTGGAGATTTTATAGTTGGTTCATCAATGCAAAATTGACATAATCAAGTTATTCCTGTATAGTTGAAATTTTTCACGAGCAAATAAGCATTCGATATACTCCCATGTGTATTGATGTGCAGTCTTATAGCGTCTAAGTGAGACCAGCCGTATAACCATTTTGCCAATTATCCTGTTTATTTTATTATTTTTTTAAATTCTGACAAAATACAGTTTGATGCACACATTTTTAACCCACGCTCACAATAACCATAAAAAATATATGAATTGAATGTATAACCTTTGACCTACATTGTGCTGGCGACTTGAAATAGTAAATTGGTGGTCCTGTTGTTACTGCTGCAGAACTATGACTTAGCGATATAAAAGATTGGTTCTGTGCCATTCATATGTTAAACTCTATTGATGTCAGTATGAAATAAATGTGTCTTGACACTGCAACTATTTCCTAGAATTTAGGTTTATTTTGCTGACCATTATCGTGTCTCATAGTTTTTTACTGTCTGGTTTAAGATAATATAAACAACTTCTTTTTTATATGACACAGCCAGTTTGATTGAATTCTTTTTTTATTACAATTCATTTGAAATGTCATAACAGGAATAATGTAACTTTTTTACATCACACAATGTCTACCTAATCTGTTCTAATACATTCACTTTTAATATGAAACAAAAATATTCTTTAATGTAAATACCTAATAATAAAATAAGATCACTGATGGCTATAATTATTTATTTTTAAGTTACTTTAAACTATTAACTATTAAAATATAAATGCTGGTTCATCTTGATCCCTGAGCTTATTTCATGACCAATCACAGGACATCTAACAAACAGTATTCAGCCACATTGAGTGCATGTATACAAGCAACTTGATTGGATGCTTTTTTGCTAGCAATCAGGTGATAACCCTAAAATACTAGTAGATAGTTTTTGTAACAGTTAACAAAATAATGAAATAAATCTCAATAACAAAATACATTTTTTAAACTAAATATTTAACACAATTACATCTTCTCAATCAGGATATTTTGCTCCTATGAATTCTACATTATGACTTGCAAAAAAGTTTGATAATGTACAAAAAGTAAAATTATTCCCTGTACATACTGGTGAATAACAGTGTACTTCCTAACAAATATAGTATAATATTTGACATAATTGCAGTTTCTTCATGTCTGGAAAGTGTTAAGTATTAAAATTTGATGAGCTCCTCTGCATGTATGCATCTTCTGTGAAATGTAGCAAAGCTGCATTGCCTTCTGGGTATTATTTAGCAAATACATATTCACCAATAGAGGGCACTATTGTCAAAGTTACAAATCTGTATGTATTTTTATTACTGTAGTTTGCACCAGAAGATGTAGAACTTATACTTGTTGCTAACAAGAGTGATGCTTATAACTCGGAAAGAAAGGTATCCAAGGAGCATGGAGAAATGGTAAATTTAATTTTTTTTTTATATACATTTACATGTATGATTAAAAAAAAACTACAACAGCTACATAAGAAACAAACTAGTCCGCAAAAAATTGGTCTTGAACATTTCTGAATAGGGTTTTTGTCTTAGAATCAGTTCAAACACTCTCCTTATTTTACTGACAAATAGTTTGGTTGAGGATACTTTTTTTCCTTGACTACAATCATTTATAAATTGTTTTGCAATGATTAAAATGTAATTCAAAATATTCGGATGAGGTAATCCAGTAATTATTTATCTCAGACTTTATGATATCAATTATTTTTATATATATCCCCATCATCACTATGTCTGACTTCAAGTTTGCTTCATTTATTTTTCAGTTTGCAAAAGAACACAGAATTCCATTTTATGAGACAAGTGCGTATATGGACATGAATATTAATGAGGTATATATTAAAAGTTTTTTTTATTAAATATACCGATAATAATAGAAATAAACGTACCATATTTGGACATGAATATTATTGTTATACCGGTACTTGTTATACTTTTGTACGACAGCTTTTCAAATAAAACTGCATTCTGCACTGCAGTGCTTTTCAAATAAAACTGCCAACCGCATTGAAACTGTCATGTATGCAAATAGAGCAAATACTGCAAAAATGCAGCTTAATCTCGTTTGGACCATCTCACGGATCAATCTCATAACTTTTTTTATCTCACTTTTACAGGCGTTTATAATGCTAGCGAGAATAGTTATGAAGAGACATAAAAAAGAAATTGACAAACAGATGGAACACATTCGGCTTTTCTGTCGAGAAGACAGCGATGCCCACATTATAGAAAAACAAGGAAAGGACAATAACGGCTGTTGTGTTTTAATGTAAAGTGCAATAGGTGATTTTCCGTACAATTGCGAGATCTCACGAGATGCATGAAAAACGCGCGTTGAGCGCCTGCCGCAAAAATCGAACTTCGACAGAGGAATATTGCTTCCGAATACCCTTACTTAATCGAAATTGCCCATCATCAAATGTGAACAGCACATTATTAAGCATGGAAATGTCCCCGAAAATACTTTCGCGTTTGTCAAATCTCACGCAATGTTTGACGCCGCTATGACCTTTGTTTGCCCTGTTTTTACGTTCGATTTCACGCATAACGCGTGATTCTCGCAGTGAACAGAAAATGGTCTATTCAATCCAGTTTATTTATTCTAACATGCTTCCATTGATTACTTTGAAAACTGTTATATTTACATGGCACAACCTGTGTTTACAACAGGTTTCGCAAGCTCTCCAAGCTATCAGTATTGTACTTAAAAATCAATCACACAATATCCAGTACAATATTGTCTTCTTGGAGTGTAAATTTATACGTATAAGTGCTATACCAAAATTACTACACACATTCCGCTCCATAATCTACTCAATTCGACTGCTTTCGAAAATATTATGGAACTTAACGTGCCTTTTATTTCACATGTTGCAAAGATGTATTGGGGATTCAAATCAAGTCAGCTGCCGAATCAATGAAAATGTTGTCTTTGTTGAAAGCTCAATGAGTCTGCCACATTATGATATAACTTTCCAACATCTGCTTCCTATATTTCCTCATATGAATTTTATTTTCAGGTTTCACTCAGGTTTATTTTTGCATGGCATAATTAATATTTCTCACAGTACGGTACTTCATTTTAGTGGTATTACTTAATGTGTGCTAGTTTATAGTACTAAATGTAAAAGTTATTTATTAGAGCGTATGTGTGCTTAACAGAAGTAAGCTCAATTTATTTATATTTACATGATTTTTATGGTTGTACTTGATTTCGAGGTTTTAAAAATGCTCATTGTGATGGATTTGGTTCAATACTTCAATGATTCCTCAATGGAAGGTTGAGAAATGACAAGCTGTGTGTATTTACCATTACCTGTTTTTTTTATTACCAGGTCTATTGTCAGTACAAATACTAGGTTATTAAACGCATATTTATATTTGTTTTTGTACACAATATCATAGTTTATGGACGACACCACCTGTATTCTTTAATTATATAGGCACATCCCGTAGACTTAAAATTTCATGTTAGGTTTTCAGTAACATGACATAGAACTGGTAGCCTACAAATGTAATGACTAAAATTTGGAATTAAGGTCTAGAAGGAAAAACTAATATCAATGTTTCCAAGTAAATGTGTGATTATAATGAACTGTATTAATTTGTAAAACTTACTTTTATAAAATGCGCTGCTGTTTATTTTGCATAGGCCAATGCACTAACAAATATAACTGGATCAAGTCTGTGATAGCACAAACCTGGTGTATCAGCGTATACTAAATCTCTGTTAAATTGCATTGTGGGTAGAGTATTTACATTAGGGTGAATGTATTTTCGGATAGAGCTTTTGCATGAGCGCTGCACCACGAGCTGTTTTACATTCATTTGAATAGGAAACTTTTGACAAGGGCAAAAATAGGGCTGATAGCATCAAGGCAACAACATTCAAGTGCTTTAGAGCTCTAGTCATGGGTCCCATGCAACATGACTGTGGAGCTATATTTCTTGAGATAAATCTTGCAGCAATGAAAATCTGGGCTGATCTGCAATGGCTCACAAAACTATTAGTAATTTATTGTTTAGTCAGTCATTGACTCTAAACCAATCAAAATCTACCTTCTGAGTGACTGCCGATCAGAAGGAAAATTTACTAGAATTACTTTGTTTGTTTAGTCACAATTTCTCTCAATTGGTGAATCTATATTTCCAGTGATAAAAATTTAGTGTTCAGTAATATTACTGTATTCTTTCTCACTGGCATACAATTTAGTAAACTGTGATAAATTCCTTACAGTATCGGTGAACAGAGTACGAGCAACTATAGGCTCATGTAGACTCACAACCTATGACGATCAGAGTACCGTCTTTGTTCTATTATCAGTTCATTTGCTTATGTAGCCTAATGTTTATGGTCATATTTAATATGTTCCAGCATATGAAAAAAAAAATGCAATTTTTAGTTTGTGTGTGTTTCTATTGAGCAAAATTTGATAATAGATGTATTGTTCACATGTATACTGTAAGTGCATTAATATTCACTTTTAAGTTTTATATTTTTTAAAACTGCTAAATCCACAGTCGAAAAAAATACAATATATCTTCTTATTTTACTGGGAATTTATAACCTAGTGACTCTTATCATATATTAAATAATTGAAACAAAATAATTGTGAAAATCAATGCTTTTACAGTATTCAACCTCTCAATTAGAATGTACTTATTTAAGAAATCCTTTTACATTTCACAAGGTTTCCAGTCTTCCATGAAAACTTATTCAAAGTACCATATTGTTACTGATAAATTTAAAAGGTTTTGTATTCCATATAGTCTAATTTATTCTATTCTATTATAAATTGGCTTTATTGGTGGTTGGGGCATGGCTGCTAAAGCAAGGTGTAGCTGAACAAAGTCATGACGTTTTTTATTGTTACTTGAAGTTGTAAAATAAACGAGTCAAACCAATACTGTCTTTTATTTTATGTCTCTCATTTCCACAAATATATCAGTATTACCAATGACACAAGTTAGCCTGGTAAGTGAGTCTCTGGCAGTTATTTTCATGTTCTTGGATGACAACACTGATTTCTCAAAATCTTTATTTGATCTCCAGGATGGTTTTCAGGTTTAACTTAGCAAAAATGATATTCATATTGGGTATGTAGACATCCGTCTTAATCTAACAAGTCATTGTCATGGTCCCAGTTTGTATTTAGTTGAAGTAACAGCAACCCGCAAACAATGTTCTACACAAAATCACATGTTTGCCTCCACAGAGCAATGATCACATCAAAACGATCATTTGAATACATCTATGCAGCAAGTCTCAGTTGTGAAATATAAATTTGAAATGAAATATAGAATATATATATTTGTGACAATAATTAATTAATTAATCTTTATTCCCCAATATATATGTAGTTTGAATAAAATCAGATGCACAGGGAGTATTGCATGTTGCATGTTTTGGATTTCAGTCAGTTTCTAGTTGACCAGGAGCAAAGAAGGTTTACCTTCTTAATAAAGAATTCCCTTAGCACAGGTTGATAGGCACATGCTTGTATGTATGTGGTATGCAATGTAAATTAACTTATCGGTATGTTCATATTACTCGTCCCATTAAAAATATGGTTTTATATCTGTAGTACTACTTTTTGGCTTGTCTCCAGTTCGCTTTTGACAATGCCTTTTTTTTTAATTTTGCATGTTTACCGGGAAAGTTCCTGACAGTACCAGTATCTGTTTACTAGTTGTTGTTCTCAAAAAGGAACTGTTTTTCAGAACGATCTTTTTTTCACATATTCCAAGTGGAGAGTACAATTTTCCCCTCACTATTTAAAAATGGGACATAATTTTGAGCAGCAACACTCTATATATTACAGTTGCGTGAATACATGGTCTCTCTACTGAATGAGCCAAGTAGGTGATACATGGTTGAATGCCACATGTAGTTTGCTATGATGTGTTGTCCATTGTCCTTTTATACAAGCAAATTATCGACTTTCCTTTACAGCATCAACCAACAAAATAAAATTTACTGATTGAACGATGCTTTTGTTCTTGATATCAGAAATTGGCTAAAAAAATTAGATAATCAATATACATGGTTTTAAACATTAACCTAATTACGTCTGAATTGCCCCAGAGCACATATGTACCAAGTTTCAATGAAATTATTATTCATATTATGCAAATTAGGTAAATAACATGCATAGAATTTGATCTATTTATTATGCAAATTAGAATATTATTATGGGTGTGTTTAAACTTAAACTAGGTCGTTGAATCATCTTAGAGAATTTAGGTACCAAGATTCGTTTAAAATAAGACGATTAGTATTTGAGATATTGATGGAAAAGCAGAAACTAATGAATCATACTAATTAGGTAATATATATATTTAATGTAAAACTAACCCAGCCTGCAAAATGTCACAGAGTATCTATGTACCAAGTTTCATTAAAAAATGCGGCGTGTGCTTCATACATGCTTGACAAAAACAGGGATGGTCACCATATGATAAATAGCGCCCTCACAGTCCAATCACGTAAACTCTCAAAAAAGGCCCCCAGTTCAATTCCCACAAAGAGAGATTGAGAGCAATGTACCAGTTAGTTGCAATGTGGAGTTATTTTTTTTTTTAGCAGGAAACCTGTATTTTCGTATTTATCTAAAGGGTAACTGGTTTTTACATATGGTTGTCCAAGACCAGACAATTTTGAGCAGCTTGTCCACATTCATCAAGTTTACCTCCTGATAGTTACTCTCAGAACATGGCATTCCCTTTATTCAAATAAATTTCAATGGCATATATATCCAACCAGCCAATCAACAGACAGTGTTAAAACAACTTTACAAATGCTCATCAACCAATAGAGATCCTTTGTTTCAGTTGAATTGTGAAATTTATAAACAATGCAGCTTTTGTTGTGCAAACATCGAAATCAACAGTCATGTCGAATGTTACACTGTAACACAACTGGTAAGTACTATTCTTTTTTTACCAATCAGCGTCAATAGTCTCCCCCTACAATTGAATTGGGAACATGTAGGGGATAAAGCATTTCTTTAGGAGCATTAGGACACAAATTACTTTGAAAAAGAAAAGGTATACTTAGCGATACAAGATTTGATGTGCATTTGCACTTCCCTACCGCAATGTGGGAAGAACCTTTTGAGGCACTGTTTCAATTCACACTCAATGAGTACCAGATGCAAAATGGCGTATGCCATGTCCATCTCGACCATCTCGTGTCTTATGGCAACTTTCAGGGTAAAACGATACCTTCCACAACAAGGCCGTAGATCATGCTTGTATCTGTGATGGCTTTGTTAGTCTAGATATCTGTAGTTTCTTGTATTTGATCACTCACTGATTCGCTGGTGGTGACACTACAATGTAATGTGCCAATTAACAATGCAACGCCTTTCGTACATTATCTTTTCTAGTTCTATTAAATGATAGCTTTCAGTCAAAATTTGATTCAATCAATCAGCACTGCAAGCAATCTGTCAGATTAACTGTAAATCATGGATGCTTTTTTAGAACACTGACAAAAGAACACAGTACCTCTCCAAAAGATCTTTTATTTATTTAGATCTCTCACAATCATTACAGATGTGAAAATAAAGTTATTATTAAATGTACACACATCTAAGAGTTCGAGTTAGGGCCTCTCCTCTTTCCAAATGTTGGAACTACATTTACAAACCGACGGTTGTATTGCATTCTACGCTTGGCACGACCAGTCCTCTTTTTCTTCTTTTCTTGCTTGTCAACCTGCATTGAAATAAAAGTGCATGTAAGAACTGCTGAATTCAACACAACAAACTATCATGTACAGCTGCTACTGAACATTAAGGTTCTCTACTTTAAGACTTGTTATTTCGATCATTGCAAAACATGCTAGGATTTGCAAAAGATTAACAATTTTCAGACCAGAAAACTTTTTTAAGGTTTGCAAACCGTTTGGAAACTCACCTTTGGTGTCTGTCCCTTCACCTTACCGGCACGAGCCAGGGAGCCATGCACTTTTCCTGTAAACGATAGTAAAAATATGTTGTTTGTAAATAGAAGCATTTATTAGAATAATCGCACTGCAACAATGAACTGTGTCTGGAAGCAAACATCTCACTAATTTCTACCTTAGCTGTGTTTGAATATTTGGCATTGCTTTTCCTTAGAAATAGTCTGATAAAAAAGTTATTATTTTCTAATTTATTTCACAACTATTATACAGTGAAATTCTAACATCAATCAATTAAATACTTCAGTTATAACAGATCATGTTGTACTCGCCTCCAAGTAAACGGACAGCAAGATCAACTGTAGCCAACTCATTTATCCCACTTTCTGTAATCACTTCCTCATTGTCAAGGGGTCTACCAGAATGAAGAAGAATTTGATCTGATACTGCGATACCTGTGGCATCAAAGATTCTTGCCTAAAAGAAACAAGACATAATAGGTTAACCACATTGACACAATGTGGACAGTTAGGAGGATCAAAATACACATTCATTTGGACTTAAAAAGTTGTATATTACCATGCATTAAGAAACAAATGTTACCAGAGAAGGACCGAACACCTATAATATTAATATAGTTTCCTCAAAGCCACCGCTGAAATCAATAGGGGTGACAGCAGGTGTTGTGTTAAACATGAGTCTATGATGTTATGTACCGACCACCTAATTATTTTATTTCAGACATAGTCCAACTAGATTGGTTATTAACAGAATTGACCTATCACAATGCAGCCTTGTATCAACGCAATTCTCCAGGAATTCCTGAAGGCATTCTGGTAATGCAATGCGGAAGAGAATTATTAATGTCAAAGTATGATCTGTTGGAATCGATTTCGGCAAACAATGCAGTGAAGTATTTACTGCCTTTCACAGGTGTTACAGGTCATTGTGGAAGCATAGTTTATGCTTGGTTATCATGGTACTTGCATTTACACGATATTGATTTCCACGCTATAAATTTGATTACTGGCATTTGGAAAAGTCAAACAATTCTCAAAAATAAGGTCTTATGACTACAGTCAAATTTGGATCATTTTGGAATGGATGGGTGCTCAAGCCGAATGTGAAACTGAAAATAAAAATGCCCCAAAATTCAGTGCAAAACGATCTTTCCAAAAAAATGCATGTTCTTGATGGCCTGAAGTATACCCCCCCCCCTCCATGTATAGTTGCCTAGCAAGTGCCCAAGTAGACTAGTCGACTAAACAATGATATGGTACAAACCTTTAGATCAAAAACTGTCTCATTCCCAAGTACCTCAAGGGCACTGGTTGTCTGGCCACGAATGAAAAGCTGCATATTGGATCTGAGGAAAAGATTAAACGTGTAAAACAAATGTGTTCAAATCCAAAAGTTAAAGAAACTGTCGTAAAACTGTGATACGACATACAACATTAACAGTGGTACAATAAACATGAAATGTATAAACTGCAAATTTTTAAGAGAAATTGACATGTCAACATTCAACGCAGTTAGTAAAATAGCGTCAACAATTTGCCAGTGGTGAACATGCATTCCTTTTAAGTTCAAACGTATACACGTTTCAGATTTACAGTGTGTAAGTAGAGGCGATTCAAATAGTCAATACATTACACGATTCAGATAAATTGTGCTCGTGGTTGGATAGAAATAATGAAGAGCTGATTTGGCGACATGTGCACGGCAGACCAACTTACAAATTTGGATCACTTTTCCAATAAATAACAAAATGAGAGATCTTTAAGTCTCTGAACGTTAGACGATGATATTCAAGAAACGTTAGGTGGTGGTTTCGCCATGCTATGAAATCATAATAGGGAGTTTTCATGCATTTTATAGACTAACCTCTTACTCCACCTTGTGCAACAACCAATATGGCGAACTGAAAAGAACGTTGGCGCATCCGGCCTGCGCATACCACAATCCTTTGCAATATCCTGAACATGGCTGCCATTTGCGGAAGAGTGGGCTCGTATGCCACTGCCAGATTTAGATGGTATAATTCCGTCAAAGCAATCCAGGTACATGAATTTACGCTCAACAAGATTTTGTCGTGAGTTTTAATGAACCAAATGAAAGCTTTGGCAGTTATTTTATCTTGAAATAGCGTATCCTTTGAATTTATTGTGTAGACACTAGGTGGCGCTGTTGTATTTCGTATTTAAATCAAATTACATGTGTTTACATTGAATAAGATGCCAGACCCCAGTTTGGTCGTTTATGACTAGTAATCACAGTTTGATTAAAATAAATTGACTAGATATGGCACGGATCTAGAAGCCGTACCTACACACGAATTGGTGACGTCACAAAATACATGACCTTCAATCGAGGTCGTTTCCTCTGTATATACGAATTGGTATATACAAATTACAATAAAGATACTTAAGACATTGCACATAAAGTAAAACAAATCATGTGACAATATAATGATAATAACGGTAATAAATCCTAGCTTAACAGTTGAACAGAACGATCATATAGTCAGTCGGGTGACCCCGAGGGTCACGCACTTGTTGCAAAATGGCCGTGTGGTTGAAACTGGGTCATGGCGT